AGGCAGTAAAGGAATTAGAAGTAATCGGAGAGGTTAGGATTAGAAGATACTATTCAAGAAGTATGATTCAGTGAGAAGTTTAGAGAGTCGAAACTAGAGGGGTTGAAGAATCCAGAAGATTAGGATTTGAGAGAACACAAAGAATAAATGCACCGGCGCCAATGCAAACGATTTTGAGCCATGTCATTCAAGGTCTCTAACCATCGATTATTATCATCTCGCGGACCCCAACCAGGTAGTCGACAATTACCGACATGGCTCAGTCCACTAGTCAATGACTTCATGGATTTCTGCCATGTTTTGATTTGGCCTATTCCTATTCCTACACTACAAAACAAGGCTCGACGAGGCAGTCGGTGGTTAGGCATACGCAACACATGTCCCAACCACCTCAACTGATGAAGTTTCATTACTTCATCTACTGATCTGCCATTCTTACCTAGTACCCGATTCCTAATAACAGCGTTGCTCACTCGGGTGTCCCACGATATACGAGCAATGCTTTGAAGACACCTATGATCGAAAACCAGTAACCTACGAATATCTTCTACTCTCATTGGCCATGTTTCACAGCCATAAAGTAAGACGGAGCGAACCACTGCGCAGTACACTCGTCCTTTAGTCAGAAAACGGATATCTCGCCTACGCCATAAGTGACGCAGGTTGGCAAAAGACAATCGAGCCTCCTGTATCCGTGCCGAGATTTCGTCAGTCACCAGGCCATCGGCACTGATGAGACTACCAAGATAAGTGAAGCGGTCTACACGTTCGACCACTTCACTCCCTATCACTAGTTCAGGTGCCGATGCAACCCTGTCTTGAAGCAACATTTTGCATTTCGAGGGGGAAAACCGCATCCCGAACATGCTTGCATTGTTGCTTAGGGTAGTCAGAAGACTCTGCATTTTGTCAGCGTCTTCACCGAATAGAACTATGTCATCGGCATATTCTAGATCAGTAAGCGACTTTCCTGGTAGAAGGTCAACCCCTGAAAAATCTGACGAGCTTAATGTTAACTCTAAGAGGATGTCTACGACAAAGTTAATTAGGAATAGAGAGAGTGGACAGCCCTGACGGACACCACTTGAAGTGAAGAAATCCGGTGACAGTTCGCCATAAGCCCTCACTCGACCAGTGGTGTTCGAGTAAAGAGCCTGTATAAGGTTAATGTACTTCTTTGGTACACCTTTCAATGACAGACACTGCCACAGAACCTTACGATCAACAGAGTCAAATGCCGCCTTAAGGTCTAGGAAAACAACTATTGTAGGACGCCTAAATGTGTGTCTGTGTTCCATGACCTGTCTGAGTGTGAAAACGTGGTCTATAAAACCACATCCAGGTCGAAAACCAGATTGGTCTTCTCGAGTTTGCTCTTCACGAGCTTTCGTTAAGCGTCGAAGTATTACTGAGGCTAATATTTTAGATACTATATTAGTTAGACTTATTCCCCTGTGATTGTCACAAGATACAGACACAAGTACACTTACATGTAGACTGAAGCTTGCGATTTGTAGTCAGACAGCACATAATATCTAGAGGCAGATATAAGTATGTACCAACAAAAGAAAACAAACTTAATAGATAAATACAGCTTTCTATAGACTCCTGTGAAGCACATTTACTTAAATATCAAAAATAGTATACTCATTCAAAATTTGCTGTACTTTGTCGATCCCCAATCGCAAGATTTAGTGGTTGTAAAGTTAGAGCAGATTGATGAGTAACACTGTATGGTATAGATTCTATTGTTCAGAGAACCCAAAATTACGAAACATGACATTTATATTTAACAGAGCAAATAATCACAACTCATTAAAAATCAGACTAATAAACAGCATAAAAGAATACTAACCAGAATTTGGGGAAATGAAGTCATTATCACTATCAACAGAAGAGGCGTGACTTGCAGAGCCTTCGCTGTCAGAGCCAGACTCCCATGGCATACGACCAGTACGTTTACGTTTGGTATTTCCACCCACATTTTTACGTTTAACTTGACTGTTGTCTAAAAAGAAAATACACCAACTTTTTTATTTTTAACAATGATAGTTCATAAATACAATTATGCACTGTATATTGAGCACAGAAATTGAGAAATTTTACGAAACACATGAACTGGAATTAAAAACTGTATATAAATTTGTTAGTCCATTGTGCTGCAACAGGCAAATAAAGTGAAATGCTACTAGTACATGCTTTCGACTAGTATTCACTGGAAGAATACTCACTTGGACTAGACGGTTTCTGAGGCTTTGGACGACTTGTCGGGACAGTTCTCCCTTTACCGCGTCCGCGCATAACAGCAGTCTTTTGTACATCTGTTTTCGCAGCAACACCAAGACGTTGAATGAGCGGTTTAGGTTCATCGTTTGCATCATTTTCTTCATCATTTACTTCGAAACTATTGTCCAGCTCGTTACCTTACGGATAGAGCAAAATGAGGTAAACGGGAGCAAATATACGGTACTAACTTTATGAAAAATTTAGAAAATGTTATAAGTCAGCAGTTTAAAAACGAGTGGTTTGTATAATAAGAAAAGTCTAGTAAATTAAGAACACTTCATGTAAGGTTACAATTCTGAGACATATTTTGCTCACAAGCACTAGACTACAGATGACAATAATTTTTTGGCACTGAGAATAGAGCAACCATTAAAAATAGCCACTTTTAATGAAAACTTATTGTGTTAATGTATGAACTGAACAGCATATCGACTGTAATTCGTATATATATATATATATATATATATATATATATATATATATATATATCACTAAGTGAAAAATATCAACACATTTGAAAATCTACCAGTCTCTTATTATTGATTATTTCTCTCTCAGTAAGTAACACAGTGAAAGCATAGTTTAATAAAACAAACCTTCATTCAGTTCATTTTCTGTTTTATTTCGTTTCTTCTTATTTCCTTCCACCTTCTTCATTATATCAGCATCTACTGCTGGAACAACTCGTCTACCCATTGGATCTGGTCTTGTTTCCGTTGCTAATTTACGTGACTTTGTAGCAGCAGCACGACCAGCTGTTGTAGCCGATGCTATTTTTAATTTCTTTTCAGCTGCTTCAATTGCAGCACGTTCATCAGCAGCTAATTCTGCCTCTGCTTTCTGAACAAAAAAGACAGTATTTCATTATTGACAGATACAAGTTCATGAAGGATAGATAGTATTCATAAAAAATCCATTATATATATATATATATATATATTTTATTGAAAGTATAAAATGGTTAATTAAGAAAGTACCTTATATTCTTCTTCCAACTTTTTAAGATCTTCACGCCACAGATCAGAAGGAGATTTACTTCTCAGAATGCTCAATTCTCTTTGTTTAGCATCTCTTTGAGCGAGCAAGTCATCTTTACGTTCTTTGGTCAAACTCCATAGTGGCATATTTAAAATATAATTGTAATCAGGTTGACCAGCTTCAACAGCTTCAGTTTGAGAGGTAGATGCATCTGTATGAGCTTCTTCTTGTTCTTGTAGGGCAGCTACTTTATCTATGCTTTCTTTCCATGCCTTAACAGGATCAGAATCATAGTTAGCTTCTTTAAGCATACGAATCAATTCTTTCTTTGGTTTATTTTCGATCACCATAATAGACTGGATTTTTTCAAGAACGAACCTAGCTTGATTTTCAAGTTTCTTAGCCTCTGCAGACAATACACCTTCCAAGTGGATCTTCCGTTTCTCGTACCTATATTAATCATAGAAATTTCACATTTACTGCATACAGAACATATAATCAAGCTTTTTTAGAAGAAATAATGACATTTAATTTGTATTCACCGATAACAGGAAATACGTTGACAAACAAAGAGTTTTAAGTAGTGGTTAGTAACGATGGTGTTGGTCAGTAAATTAATGCACTGAATTTGTTCAAATCCCGCACTGTAAAAGAAAATAAACCAGAACGCTTATGTCCTCAAATTTCGTTGGATTCAGGTTTTAATTTTGCATTATTCATTAGATTCCTCAATATAATTTGTTCTTTTACTTCTAAAGCTCATAATGATGCTTCCAAATGGATTTACCAGTTTTTGTGAGCTGATTTCTATCCTGATGGATCTAACAGATTTGGATTAATCGTTGAATTCTAAGTTCAGACTAGTTGGGGTTGAGTGAAAAGAAGAGGAAACCTTTTTCGTTATTTATAGAAAATACCTGCAGTGAGTCAACGAGACGCATCCACGTGGACATTCTCATCATTAATTAGGTTAGCAACTTGTCCTTGTTACAGTACAAACAAGTAACTGGGCTAATGCTACGCAAGTTTTTTTGTTATTTGCTATAAGGTGAAACGCTAACTGGATTCAGAGATAAGTAGAATGATTACAAGAATGAAAAACAGGTTTCAAACAGTTTGGAAAGCATCTAAAATAGTAAACGCTGGTGATTTAGAACTATTGATGAAAAAACTTAGAATCAATCAAAATGGCGAAGATGTACTCGATGCCTCGAAGACGTCGACATCTGAGGGGGAGTAAGGTATGCAATCGACAGCTGGGATTTAGCAAGACGACAAGGATTTCGCAACTGATCTAGTCATAATAACGCACACACAACAACAAATGCGGGAGAAGACGACCAGTTTAGCAACAGCCTCTGTAGCAATAAGTCTCAACATTCATAACGGATAAAACACGATCCTCCCATACAACACAACATGCGCCAACCAAATTACACCTAATGGAGAAGCTTTGGAGGATGTAGAGACATTCACATATCTGGGCAGCATCATCGACACTCAAGATAGGTCTGATGTACATATGAAGGCATGGATCGGCAAAGCAAGGCATGATTTTCACGATTTAACAACATCCGAAACTCAAGAGAACTGCTGACAAATGTCAAGACAGTTCTACTATATGGAGCGGAAACTTGGAGATTACCGAAGCCATCATCCACAAGATACAAGCTATTTATTGTTTATTTATTGTCTACACAAAATACTTCGGATCCGTTGACCAGACACCATCAGCAACAACCTACTATGGAACAGAATAAACCAGATTTCAGAGGATAAGGAAATTACAAGGCGCTCGAAGTGGATAGGACACGCAGTGAGGAAGGAATCCAACTGGAGTCACAAGATAAGACCTCACTTAGAATCCTCAAGGTCAAAGGAAAAGAGGAAGTCCAAGGAATACATTGTGCCGAGAAATGGAGACAGACATGAGAAGAATGAACGACAATTGGACAGGAAGGAAGGCCCAGGACAGAGTAGGTTGGAGAATGCTGGTCGGCGGCCCATGATCCAATGGGGGTAACATGCATAAGTATGTTAGTTAGCTAGACAAACGTTGCCTTTTTGTGAAATGCTTTAGACACATAGGCTACATACTTTTCATGTCCTTACCATCAGCACTGGAGATATTTGTGCCAGGGTAGTTATTCTCAAAGTCAACCTTTCCACACACCCTTTTGTTTCGAGAAAGTAGTATCACTAGGAAACCTGGTTATCTAGAAGTAACATTTTGTCCTCAAGCCTTATATTTGCTGTTTCTGATCCGACCTGTCTGGCATGGTAGAATTTGAAGGGACGATTGCGAGTGGCCAATGTAGCTTGATTGGGTTATCCTGATGGGCACAAGTGATTACCACAAAGCCCAATATTAAATCCCTTAACGATGCTGATAAATTATCGTATGAACAAATGGCTGAAAAATTTAAGAAAATTTTGCCGGCAATCACGTTGGTTATGAATACTAATTAAGGGGCTTACCATGTAAGACGCAATTCGAAGAATTCGCGGATAATAACCATTTCATCGGAATAACACTTTAAACAGCCTAAAGGATCAAAACACACCATTGAACCGGTACTCATAACCGTTTGAAGTTTGAAGAATTTATGAAGTCCAGTAGATTCAGCTTCCCGCAACTTTTCAGGAGACATTTTGACAACGAATCGCACAGTGACATCTGTGTGGTATTCTTTGTAATCTCTAAAACGAATAAAATGAGTTAGGCGCATTTTCATAAAATTTAAGAAATTTTAGGTATTAAGATTAAGATGAACACTTTACTTACGTGATACAAGCAGGAACCTTTTCCGAACCATTTAACATTGGCTCTAAAACCGATTCTTTGTAGTTCTGTGTCCAGGTTCGGATAGGCAGTTCAGTAATCTCTAAGGTATCATCGTCTAAGACAGCAACTTCTCCATAACAAACGTAACGATTACTACCTAAATCCTAAAAATGAATTAATTCATTGGCATATAAGTAGTAATAAATAAAACAAAATAGTGGAACAAATAAGCTAAAAATAATATAAAGTATATTGTAGTATCGATTACATTGAACTGTCTTCTTACCTCAATGGTACCAGTAAAGCCTCGGAAGCTGGGTAACATACGACGAGGTTCTTCACCGTCCAACATGCGATAAAGGTTATTTATTATCTCTGTAACATCATAGTTGAGAATATGTGTTGCATAGCCAGTTCCGATACCGTCTGCTCCATTGACTAGGACCATAGGGATTATTGGAGCATACCATTCTGGTTCAATACGTTGATTATCATCGTATAGATAATTTAATAAAGGATCGTCATCCAAATGGAAAATAAGTCGTGTAAGTGAATTCAGTGCAGTGAAGATATAACGAGGAGACGCAGCATCTTTACCTCCACTGAGTCGTGTACCAAACTGACCGATTGGTTGGAGTAAATTTAAATTATTCGATCCTAGAGATAAATAATTATTTATTCTAAAATAACATAAAACAACTTGTTTACATAATCAAGAGAAACTCATGTGATGAAATCTTCAAGCTTAATACAACTTATTTTGCTTGACGAAAATACCAAGTTTAGAACAATCATAGAAATGAGGTTAAGTGTTGTTAAACTTGCTTAAGAAAGCAGTATGCCAATAAACAACCCTTTAAAAATAATTTTTAATCACAGGCTAACATTATCTGAAGAACTATATCAATCAAGAATTCAGTCAGTTACAACGTAGAACTTCGTACGTGCGTACAACCAGGGAATACTGGAAAGTTGAATTGGCCTAACCTGTTTCTTCAAAAATGTACACACACAATCCCATAGGGAACAAACAGTGAACCAAGACCTTTACATCACTACAAAAGAACAAAGATCAACATCTCTAACTTTAGCCCATGTACAATATAGAGAAAAAATCATAGTACGAACAGTGGGTAAGCGATTCATTCCCGGTACGACTGGTCTCTACTAGTCATAAACGCCCATTAAAACTTCATGAATCTCTAGGTCAATAACTGGTGAGAAAATTATTACCATCTGAGAGACTCGTGAAAACTACTCAGAAGGAGAAAGTTTTCGGTTTGAACTAAAGTCGTCGAACTGGATTACTTATGACTGTTAGATATTCGCATGAGACAATTGCTTAGAAGAGTGCACTTTACAGAAATAATAGATAGACCATCTGGTCTATATGCCTATACATATATATAAACGTACCGACAAAGTTTTGAGCCAACCCGATGATAGTGCTCATGAGGGATTGTTCACCATGATGATAAGCCGAGAGCTCAGCAACGGAACCAGCAAGCTGAGCAACTTTAATTTCTCTGATAAGATTCCTTTTTAAACAAGTAAACAGTACCTAGAAAAAGGGGGAAAAGTTGAAATTCAGGAGGATAAAATAAGCTCCTTTGGTTTTAGTGAAGTCCTAAGATTAGAAAAGTATAAATAAAACTTTTATGAGGTTTATGATCAAGCAAAACACGACCTGTAGCTTTATATGTTGTGTACTACCAATATATTTGATTCGTAATTCCTAAATGAACTGTGGCGAACTTATCCACAAGAGACTGTGCAATGTAGGTGACACTGTAGATTGGTAAAAAAACGACATATTCGAGTGTAGCTGTAAATAGTGATATTAGAAATGAAAACATTCATCTGACGAACAGTTAAGCATTAAAGTTGTATTTTCAAAAATAATAAGAATTCGGAATTTCGTGTTTAATTGCAGTTTTTCTATAAATTACTTAACAGTAATGCCAATGTCATGAAAATTCAGAGGTACTAAAGCGTAGATGTATTGCTTTTTTCTCCGAAGTGAAGAAAAGTTACATAATAAAAATATTAGATTTCCAAGAACTAGGAGTTAGCCTGTAGTTGTAACTCGACATATATGAGTAATATTTATCATAAATTTATAATATTTTGGACGCTAACCTTTCTTTGTCCAGGTTTTAGCCCGTCTACAACAGATGGAATACTCCTTTCGTTGTCCAAATTCGAAAACAACACTAATTCTTTGTGAACAAAATCGTGATAAGTAATAGCTCGCGTATCTTTCCCATACAAATACGGCTCCGGAAGACCTAATTCCCGTCGACGTTTACGTTCTTGTGTAAAGTTGGTCAACCAGTTTTTACGATCAGCTATCTTACTTTTGTCGAAAGCCAACTGAATGCTCCCATCATCTTCATCCCCACTGTAGCGAAATCGAATCCGATGACGATTCATATCAGAAAAGTACTCCTTAGCTTCTTTGCTTGTTGAAGTACCCAAACCTAATATGAGGAGAAATTATGCAATGGAGGGGTTGATTAGATATGGAACATCAAGATTTTGGAAAATCTGGCTCGAGTTCATGATTAAAAGGAAATTTAACACAATCGAAACAAGACGTACCTTTGTAGTATTTTACACGCCAGGTATGCCAGTTTGGAGTTGATTTTTGCCACTCCTCAAATTCTGGTAAACTATAGAAAGACTGTTCTTGTTTCCCTTTGAACACTTTCACGATTGGAGTAATGAATTCCTCCACTACATTGTGTTTCAGTAAATTTGGCCAGTTACAATGAACGAAATTTATTATTAAACCCTTAATATGAGAACCATCCTGATCCTGATCAGTCATAATCATTATCCTGCAAATTAAAAAAACGCAACTTAAGGTATTTGAGAAGTACCTATTTGGAATATTAATGGTGTGTTCAAGTATATTATATATATATATATATATATATATATATATATATATATATATATATCAGTTCAAGTTAGAAAGTTCTTCAAAAATTATAAACATTAGAGAATGTCAGACAAAACTTACTTGCCGTAGCGTAAATCTTTCAGTGTATCCATCGACTCATATTTCAGCTTGTATTGCAATCCAAGAATTTTAATTAGTGCATTAATTTCTGCATTTTCCATAATCTGTTTGTTAGATGCCTCGCGAACATTTAGTAGTTTGCCTCTTAAAGGAAAGACACCATAGTTGTCTCTACCAACGACTCCAAGACCAGCCACGGCCAAAGTTTTGGCCGAATCACCCTCTGTTAGAATAAGGGTGCATTGAGATGAATTTTTAGTCCCTGCATTATTCGCATCATCTAATTTTGGGATGCCTTTGAGCTTAGAATGTTTGGATTTGTGACACTGTTTGTCCATTTTTTCCATTGCTTTAAAGCGAATCCAAGAAAGTACATTTTCAACTATACCCGATTTTGAAGCCTATGATATACGAACCCAAATACATGGAAACTGGAAATTACAATTTCATTAATAAAAAGATGACGTGTAAGTGAAAAAACTAACCGACGTTTCAGAAACTTCCCAAAAAGTGCTAACATATTTTTAAAATCATAAGACCTTCGAATACTCAGATTTTAAATTTCATTATCATTATAAAGTGCTTCGAATAAGGCACCAAAAATTGCGCTAATAATTACAACCGACAAATAGCTAGGATGTGACTTTGTTTATTAATGGTTAATTCACTAACAATAACTAAGGCTGAGACCCAATCTCTTAACATACGTTCAACACATAAAATAGTGCTGCCAGTATCGTATTGTTGGTAACGATCCGAGAACTTAGTTTGTTGACCTAACTTAGCATCGGACCCTTATTTGTTTGGTGTTTATTTTAACCTGGAGCAGATTTAGAGTCTAGTAAATACCTCACTTTGGTGACCCAAAATAAAACATGAAAAAATAGTTATTAGATTTCTGTTTATAACCTATGTCGTTAACAAGCAACGGCAGAGAACTGGAGTTAGCATCAGATACTTAGATGCCACTGAATGCAATACATATGAAAATAATAGGAGAAACGTCATATTTCTCGAAGTTTAAACTCAAGCAGTCAGTCAGATATAACGTAGAACTTCGTACGTACAAACATCTGTTGAAATTGCCGCAACACATTAGAACAGAGAGCGAATTGTCAATTAAAACCCATAGGAGTAGAAGTATTGGCGGTAATGGAGAATATTAGGGTTCAAAGAGATAAGAAAAGGTCCTAAGCCCATGATGTCATAAGAGAAGATAATGAATGGATGCGGCTTCCCCATCGCAAACTATTTTGAGTCAAGTCATTCAAGGTCTCTAACCATCATCTCGCGGACCCCAACCTGGTAGTCTACGTCTACCAAAATGACTCAATTCACTTGCCAGTGACTCCATGGATTTGTTCCGTGAGTTGGCTTAGCCAGCCCCAAAGCTTTCTTCTAACCTACAAACATCACAAAACAGCTCCTCGAAGCAGTCGGTGGTTGGGCATTCGCAACGCATGTCCCAACCACCTCGAATGACCAAGATTCACTACTTTATCAATTGATCCGGCATCTGTACCTAGTACCCTTTTCCTAATAACAGCACGGTTTACTCGATAGTCCCAAGATAAAAACGAGCAATGCTTCGAAGACATCTGTGATCAAATACTAATAACCTACGAATATCCTCTACTTTAACTGGCCAAATTTCACGCCTATACAGTAGGACAGAGAAATATTGCGCAGTGTACTCGTCCTTCCCTACGCTGTATATGATGCAAGTCGGCAAAAGCCAGTCGAGCCTTCTGTACCTGTGATGAGATTTCGTCACATACCAGATCAGCACTGATAAGACTCCCAAGATAAGTGAAACGGTCAACACGCTCAATCACTACATTCCTTATCACTAGTATAGCTGGAAAAATGAGTATGTCAGGTGAATTAGAATAATTATGAGACAAAAATTCAGCACAGACCTTAAAAATATTAAAGCGATAAACGATCTAATAAAAATAAAAAATTTGATCTTGAGATCATTGGTTGAAATTTCACTATAAGAAAGCTCCAGAAAAACAAGTGTTAGGTCTAAAATTATGTACAACCGCTCACAATGGGCTTTTAAGAAATAAATGTAATATTTCGCTGGAAAAATTGTTGTAATGCTTTTCTGATATATGTAAACTAAATATAAAATTATTTCTGATTACTCCATGGACTGAAATTGAAAATATTAAACTCAGAAATTCCACTTTCCTAAAACTCGATAAATTTTGGAGTTATAGCCACTATTAAATAAGTAAAAATTTATGAGATTAAATACGTTTGGAGTACATGATAACTGGACATGCAGCATAAAAAGTACGAAAAGAGAAACAGGATTAAACTTATCTCACCTGTCCAATAAACTTTTCGCTTAGAGCACACGTAGACCCAAAACTTTTAATCTGAAGAGTCATATTCTCTTTTGTTTGCGAATCAAACGTAGGATTTTCTATTAGACAGTTAACAAACAACCACATATGATTCTTTATTTGAAAAGGTTTGATTTGAACACCGGATTTTCCAGACTTTTTTTTAACGATATCCATTAACTTGTTAACAATTTGATCACTCACATAAGTAATATGTGTCCCACCTTTAGTAGTTGCGATGCTGTTAACAAAACTGACCTGCTGAAAGCCTGTGTTGCTAACCGCCACTGCTACCTGCCAACGTGGGTTGACTGCTTCGTATACAACCTATTTACAGAAGAACCAGAGAAAGTTGTGACCTTTTGCCAAAAGTTTGACAAAACCTGCTGTAAAGAAAATCATGGTAATAAACCTATACTACAGCAATAATCTAAAAACTATAACGGGGTGAAACTGGTCAACTTTCAAGCATATAACACATGCATTTTAGTGTCCACAATTTCTACTAATCCATTTTTATGCGCCTAGTTTGAAGAGAAAACAGACAACCATGACATGGGCGGAATGAAAGATCTTATGGGATCTATCAGAATAAGCCATGAATGTGTTGGGTGTCATATATCTTCGAAATGAAGTCTTTCGCAGTTATTAATCTGTGGAAAGAAACAAACTTATGCATCAACCAAAGATTTATTGACTTAATTGTAAAAGATTTGCCTTAATAGAAAAATAACATTCCTTAGAAAACCACAAAAATATCAACTACGAATATAAAGGCGTTAACGCAATAGTAGGTGAAAAGTGATGAATCTTACTTGGGCTAATATCACATACGAATATTTGGAAAACAGAGCTTGATCCCGGTACAACTGTGACTTATCTCAGTTTACGGGTACCATGGGAGTATAAAAACACTTCGTCAAAACGTTCACGTCACTATCCACAACTGCCGTAGGCATGGAGCTGCTGACTAGACAACTTTCAGACAAATGGGAACGAACCCTTAGAGATCTGGTGTAAGAGACAATGATACCATATGACCACACTTAAATACCAATGTCATTAGTGTGTAATACCATACAGGCAATAAATAACACATTTCGAACGTATAACACACTAGGTTTTCGCATTTACATAGGTTCTTTCAACTATAATCCCATACCTGCCTTTATAAAGCTTTAATCATCAGTGACCTTACTGCTCGGTTCTGAATTGAATGCGTATGAAAACATGAAACGCTCGGAAGCGGAATAACAGCAAGAAGCAGTACATGAACAAACTGAATTCAATAGCATTTTGATTTAAATGAGGCTATGGTGAAAACAACGAATTTTACGGTAATGTTTAAAATAAACAGTTTTGACAGCTTACCTTGACACTTTCTGCATCATCTTTATTGGGTTTAATAAAAAGGTTTACGTAGTCCACAAAACCCTTTATTGGTAATCTTTTGCCATTAAGGAAAACTTTAACTCCATTACAAGTTGCTGCCATATCATATGCCCGGCGAGTAAAAAGAGATACCGTATCCGGTTCTAGCTCACTCATACCGAAACGCGCAAGGTCAGGATAGAATGTGATGCTGGTGAAATCATCCCCTTTATCTGCTAAAATTTTTGGTTCAGATGTCTTTGTCATATTTTCAACCCATACCTGGAGAAATGAAATTTTTAGACATATCTATACCTGCCGAAAACTTTTTTTGTATTCCTTGGACGATGTTTCTACAATGAACTTCTTACTAAAGATGTTACATAATTTTGCGCCGTAACCGTTCCTTCCACCCGTCACTTTTCGCTCAGTATCGTCATAATTGCTTGAAGTGAGAAGATGCCCAAATATCAGCGTAGGGACGTAGACATTTTCGACTTTGTGGTGAACAACCGGGATTCCTTTGCCATCATTCCATATGCGGACCATATTTTCAGCGCTTTGAGAACAATAAGAAAAAGAAGCACTTACGGGTTAATGTCAATTTTTATGCACGACATGGTAGGATCCCTGACTTTGTTATCAGCAGCATTCACTAAACAGATCAAAATACCAACATTTTCATACCTAGTATTTCGTCGAAAATCTTGTACAAACCAGGAGAAAATGTGATGTCACGACAAATCATATGTTGCTGACTCTCGTCTAGCACCCACATTTGCTGAGTATCTTTCAGTGTGGAACCAATATAGGAATCAGGCCGCAGAAGTATATGTTCCAACTGAGTTTTCTTCTGATAAATCCGTTCAACTGACAATCGCTTTTTGACATTTGGATCTGAAATGCCATTTTCAGGGCTGCTTAAAATGTCTCCGTTAAGCTGTTGCAGCACAACAGCATCCATTTTAAGACTCTTGCTGTAGGAAGCTACACAACACTGAAAATTAGAACGCCCAAAAGCAAAAGATTTATTAAGTAACTTTGAGCAAAGAGAGGAGTGCCAATTCTTGCCCAAATGTAGCGAAGTCTGTGAAAACAGACCGAACAATGAAATGATGCCACAAATTCAGAATATGCGCACTGAGAGCCCGCCCTAAGGCAGCCGGTTAAAACAATCTTAAAATCACAAACATTCAAATATGTATTAGTTTCTAACTAAAATATAATCAAGTAGGACACTTAAAATATGACTGTTTTAGATCTTTTATCAGTTCATAAATAAACATGAGTGGTGACAGGTAATGAAAATCATACCTCTTCTTAACATGGCAAAATTAAATAGCTCCTCAAAAAATGCCTTCTGTGTTGATTTTCACATTGATGGTTAGAACGGGATAGAAAAACCTGAAATTCCTTGATCAATTATCGTGTCTGATTCCGGGACACTGTTTGAATTGCTAATTTCACATAACAGCTGTCCTGCTTACGTGAATCATCATCCTTATGTAAGATAGTCTTCTTCTAGGTTTGTTTTCTAAATACGAAAATTGCAACATTATGATTGTTGTATGGTACAGTTTTGTCCTAACTACAATATCTTCAGTGTCCGACTTAGCTTTGCGGCTGATACCTAAGATAACCAGATGAACAACAGCTACAACAAAAACAGCAACATAGAACGTCCTACGTAGGTACGTACATCGTTACAAGTTGCCACACCTTATTAGCACGGAGATGTAATTGTCAATCCAAATCTAATAGTAGTAGAGATAGTAAAGGTATTAACAGTAATCGGGAAGATTGGTGTTCGAAGATATTATTTAAGAAGTAGAATCTAGTGAAATAAACTTAAATAGAAGAAGAAACAGTGATGATGAATAAGGAAGTTTAGGATTTGAGAGAACACAAAGAATGATGCACGTGAGCGATTGCAAACGATTTTGAGCCATGTCATTCAGGGTCTCCAATCATCTTTGATTTTCGTCTCGCGGACCCCAGTCGGGTAGTTGATACCTGCCTAAATGACACGGTCCACTTGAAAGTGACTTCATGGATTTCTGTCATGTTTTGGTCTGGCCGCCCTTAACTTTCGTCCAACCTATTCCTACACCGCGAAATATGGCTCGACGAGGTAATCGGTGGATAGGCACACGCAACACATGTCCTAACCACCTCAACTGATAAAGCTTCATCACTTCAACTATTGATCTGCCGTCCCTACATAATACTCGTTTCCTAACGATAGAATTCAATATCCAATATCCAATATCTTTTTCACGAGCTAGTGTAAACCAATTTCATTTCTTCGCGCTCGATTCTTGTTCTTTCGGTACGGTTCCAGGTGTTCGGTAATGTCCAATGGATGGAGGTCTAGCCACTCGACTGTCTAATTCTAGTCAGTTGGCAGTTGGTTGCTTACTCGGTTATCCCACGATATACAAGCTATGCTTCGGAGACACCTATGATGAATAAAAGCTACCTACGAATATCATCTACTCTCACTGGCCATGTTTCACAGCCATAAAGCAGGACAGGGCGAACTACTGCACAGTACTTTCGTCATTTGGTTAGCAAACAGGTATCTCCACTACGCCATACATGACGTAAGTTAACGAATGCCAATTGAGCCTTCTGTATCCGAGCTGAGATTTCGTCAGTCTCCAGGCCATCGGCACTGATAAGAAGCTCAAGATAAGTGAGGCGGTTTACATGCTCAACTACTTCACCCCCTGTCACTAGTTCAGGTACCGATACAAGCCGAACCTAAAGTAGTATTTCGCATTTCGATGGGGAGTATCGCATCTCGAAAATGCTTGCATTGTTGCTCTGAATAGTCAGAAGACTCTTAATTTCGTCAGCGTCTTCAAGTAGAACTATGTCATCAGCATATTCTAGGTCAATATGCGATTTTCCTGGTAGTAGGTCTATGAAAAAATTAAACAAGAATGGAGAGAGTGGACATCCCTGACGGACACCACTTGAATTAAAGAATTCCAATGACAGTTCGCCATAAGCTCTCTCTCGACCAGTGGTGTTCGAGTAGAGAGGTTGTATAAGGTTAATGTACTTCTTTGGTACACGTTTCAATGATAGACACTTCCGCTTTCAGGTCCAGGAAGACAACTCTTGTCGGACGTTTAAATGTGTGGCTGTGTTCCAGGACCTGTCTTAGTGTGGAGTTGTGGTCTATACAGCCTCGTCCAGGTCGGAAACCAGCCTGGTTTTTTCTAGTCTGCTCTTCACGAGTTTTAGCTAGGAGTCTGAGTATAATCGAGGCTAACGATTTAGAAACTGTATTAGTTAGACTTATTCCCCTTGTCACAAGAGGACTTTTCCTCCTTTTTATAGACTTGGACAATCAGTGATTGAGACCAGTTGGATGGAATTAATTCCTGTTCCCCAATTCTTCCTAAGGTCTTGGTCTAAACTACTGCTAAAACGGGACCAACATCATTATAAATCACAGGGCCAAGCATATCAGGTCTCGCTGCTCTCCCTCTCTTCAGATTGCCTATTGCTTTCTCAGCTTCATAAAGAGTCAGACGACCCACGTCGACTTGCCATTCGGGTTGACTGGAGACCGTGGGCACCCTAAGTGTTTCTGAAGGCCAACCGAACTGGTCCCTGAGGTGTTCCGCCCATCGATCCAATCTCCTGCTTTTAGAATGGATGATACAGCCATATTTCTCTGAGATAGTTTCGCTAACAACTGAATTTCCAGTACCGATTTCCTTGACGAGTCTGAACAGTAGTCTACTGTTGCCTTTCAACGCTGTCATTTCCATCTCTATAGCTACCTACCACCGTTCGCAGTTATTGCGTAGGTATTTTATCAGCCTGCTCCTAAGCTGACTCCACTTCTCTTCAGACTCAGAGCGAGGTGGTATTAGCTTTCGAGAATCCATGAGTTCCGTAGATGTTACTGAGATCCACCGCTTCTCCCTCACCTTACTAGAAGATATCACCGCTGTTTCCACAGCTTTTTAATATCGTTCCAAGCTGCCTCAAGGTGTGCATCAGTTACTATTTGGCTACCTAACTGTTTTTCTAGTTGTTCCTAGCTTCATTATCACTAGGCAAAACCGTAAAAGGTTTCCTTGCGATATTTTATCTCACGTCCAGTGGGATGCAAACAAATACGCGCTCGCACGAGAGGGTGGTCTGATTTTAAGCAAGTGCTACAGAATGAGTGGCAGTCTTCAGTAGAGCCTCTACACCGATGGCTTATAACGGTGTGATCTAGTTGGGTCCATCGTTGGGTCGGTTACGGGGGTCGCCAGGTAAAGAGATGATTCTTCTTATGCTTCATGTTAGTGTTTGCTAGGAATAGGCACTTATCTGATCAGAGCTGTAGCAGACGACATTATCTGTTCTCTGAGCCACGACACCATAAGATCCACTCAGGTGTCTTTCCTTTTTTCTGAGTCTATTTACTTGATTATGAAAGTCACGAGCCATTATTACTATATCGGAGCGCTTAACATTTTGGAGGAGGTCCGAAAGCTTTCTTTGAAACTCATCTTTTACTTCATCTGGACTGAGGTCAGTGGGAGAATAGGCAGATACGACGAAGAGGCAACGGCGGGTGTCCCTATCCTTCCGAGTTTGCACCGACGTTATAACTCTTCTAAATGAAGACTTTGTAACTCCCAGAGCAGAGTTTATATGGTTTGAATTTTTTTCTTGTTAACGTTTTTTTGGCAAGTAAGATTTTGTGGGATCGGGTCGCAAACTCATATCCCAACCCTCCTTCTTTATCTGGGTTCAGGCTCTACAGGCGGAGTTAAGATCACGTGATGACGGATGTTTCACTAAAAATTCATATCTTCTTAATTTATGAGAAGCAATCTGGTTTTTATGCATCCACTGCACCATTATATAGATCAATTTCGGTGACGTTTATGGACGACTGTGGCTTACTCTTGTCGGGGGATTATGGTGTGACCTCCTGACTAAAGCTCTTCTCAGTCACCGCCTAATGTGGATTAATTTTTCGTCTTATCCAGCTACTGCGGTTTCTTTGGTGATTTTTTAGCACAAACATGATGTCTTTTAGGAAATTTACCGGTAAAAAGTGGAAGAAAATGTGGTCACCGTCGGATAGAATAGCACCGATCAATTTACGACGGATATCCTACAAGATGAGGATAGGTGGAACTCTGACCATATGATTCCGCTAGGGTCTAGTGAAATTCTACATACCTTTCAATACTCCTACACCAAATTCAAAGGTCGTTTGAATCAGAATCAAATATGTTGGGAGTGATTGCCCACAGGAGCTTGCAAATTAATCCACTAGAATCTTCTGGGTATTGATAAGCTGTTAGATAAATTGAAGGACTGACTAGAAAATAATGAAAAACGGTCATCATTTCTTCATTGGAAGTTATCGTTCACTTAGGAGTCAAAGTTGTAAATCTGATTGAAGTTGCTAAATTCAGTAATGGTTATAGACTAAAGATCGGAAGTATATGTTTACTGACGAAACTGTTCCTAAAGATAAAAAAAGGAGTGCTGTACAATAGTTCAACCAAGATATTGCGAAGAGAACATGTGAAACCAAGAAGTGTCACCCTAAACTCAGACCGAAGATAATGGGGTGAAACTTTTCTAGAGTTGGAGTCGATTCGACAATGTTGTCTTCAGGAGATCAGTTTGACAGTGTAAATTGATAGTTCACACTGGAAGGGTTATATATGGTTGATTGTGCGACTAGCCGTTATTTATACTGAACTCATCCGATAGATGAAAACCATGAAGAAATAACACTTCATGCATTGAGCGATTATATATGTCATTTGGTCGATGGAAAATATTATGAAATGTACATCGGTTGTCCCGATCAGGTTTTGTGATGATTGGCTCAAAAATGCTATATGGTGTTGAGAATTCATTATCAATAAGGTTTTGTAATGTTAATCAATCGTTATCACATCAAAGACATATGCTGATCCTTTATAGATTTCGAGCTGCTTATAGTCTTTATTCGCCCGTATAATAAATGGTATTACACGTGGTTTGGTTGACGCAAAAGTAAATATTTCCTTATTGATAAGTCTAACGTACTGTTACGCAGCCTGTACAAGTGAAAAAAGCGAAGATCACATAATGCTATTGCTGATTAAGAGTGGGTTCTAAAATTA